ACCTAAAATCTTCATGAAATCATCAATTTTCAATGTTACCTGACCATCACTGAATGAAAATTGTTCTTCTCCACTGTTATGCTTCACATACCTTGATGTGGTTATAAAATAGACTTACAATAACAACTTTCCTTTCCCTGAAAATACAAAATCAGACTAATTTAAAGTTGCAAATGATCTTCCAATCCAGTATTTTGAGGAGCAATGGTGGCATGAGACTGGGCCACATGCCCACAGCGGGTACATACCAGATACCTTAAAACTGGCCTCTTCCATACGCAGGCGAGCGGAAGAGATTCTTTAGAAATCACATTTAGCTGTATTGATTAAGTAAAAGTCTTGGCAAGTGCTGGACCCAAAGTGAGAAATAATTATTGAGTATCTACCACCTTATAATAAGTGTTGTTGATATTCCTATTTTACAGATTACAAAATACAATTCAGAGAGGTTTATAAAGGAAGACAGAGATTTACTATTTATGCAGAAAGCACTATGAGTGAAATCTATGGCTCAATACTTAACTCTGAGTTAAATATCGTGCCACAGATTTCATCCACTTTAATTCATTTACGATCACTGTGAGGTTATCAACTCATGTTCCAGATAAGGAGCTGAAGATGGAGCGCTAAAGCAATTAAAGGTCTGAGAGTTAATAGGTGGGAAGGTGACAAGACCCCGCTCTATCTCAGCTAGTAAGCCAAGTCTGGGGTAAGACCGCAGATGGACTTCACTGCAGACCCCCAAATGGTGTTTACCCAAACCTAGGAAACAGCGCTGTCTTCCTAGACCTAGCACTGTCAAGTAAAGTAGACTGGGGTCACTTACTAAGAAGACACCTTTAAGCAGGACAAGAAATAGATCCTCTAGGACAATCCCAGGAGCCAATGGCCAAACCTGCCCTAATTTTTTCCCCTTTTACAAAACCATACCTTATAAATGGCATGGGATCATATAGCTAGACAACTTAAGTGCCACTCACATAGTATCTAATTCTTCTTAATGTGCAAACCATTCTTTACTTCAACAGGCTTTAAGAGACACTTTGATACATTGTATTACTCAATCCTGTGCCATATT